CCTATGTGCAGGGCCGACATAGAGGCTCGGGGAAGGGGAAAATAGGTCTCCTGGAAGACCTCCAGAGCCCGGAGGAGGCAGTTTTCATCCTCCCAGAGGCTCGAGGAAAGCCTCCAGAGCCTGGGGAAAGCAAAAACACCCCCCCGCCACGCCGTGGTGCAGGAAGCCAACTAGACCACGTCCACCATGACCACACTCACCCAGCAACCGGGCAGAGAACCCATTGCTGAAAGTTTTGAAGCCCACCCCTGCATGTCACCCCTAGTCTCTCTTTTCATTAAAGTAGATACACCCGAATTTTTCTTCTTAAAGCAGATAGAAATAGTACGCTCATTATATTTCACACAAAAAAAGAGGACCGAGGAGCATATGTACACCCAATCTGCATATGCTAATTTAACTGTAGATTATTTTAGAAAGAATTGCTACAACTTTCCTACGCCGCACTTACTTCTTGTTAGACAACCTGCTAGGATAGGTTGAATTCCTTGGCTCTTCAGGCTTAGATGCTTCGCGGGGTGCCACCACGCCACTTGACAGCTGATCTAGCCAAACTATACTTCATCTTGATTGAGAAGAGTTTTTGTTTTTGATGTTGTATCGATTCTTGTGCTGTTCTCTCTATCGACTGTTATATTGTTTTATTTTCATATTTGGTACCTTGCCTGGAGCTCAGTGATCTATAGAGATTAGAAGTGTAATAAATCAACAGGTATAATTCCTACCTTAAAAGGACAATGCTGGAAGACTCTGCTGTTGTCATCTATCAAGCCCAGCTTAAAGAACTGACATTAGTATATAAATAAATTAGGACCTACCCACACTCAATTTTTTTTTAAAAAAAACCTGCATTCCCCAGTATTTGTACCTTGCAGTCAAGCAGGGAAGATCCAAGTTATTAATTCTTCTTATAGCTCAATAGCCAAGGGTATAGTCTTCTCAATAGTAGCACCCCTATTATGGGACTACAACTGAACACATCTAGGCTATCTGAGTAACTGCTTCTACTGCCACAGTAGTGTTAGGCTACATAAAGGCTACATAAACAGAGGGATAGAATCAAGATCACGTGAAGTGTTAATACCACTGTATAATGCCTTGGTAAGGCCACTGAATTCAATTTTGGTCGCCACGATGTGAAAAAGATATGGAGACTCTGGAATGCACACACAATTGTTGAAATGTGGATAATTGCTCTTCATTTGTCCCAAAGGTGCTTTTCCAAAAGGCAACTGGACTTTCTTGTTTTTCTTGGNTGGGGGTGATATGCTGACTCTGTAAACCGCTTAGAGAGGGCTGAAAGCCCTATGAAGCGGTATATAAGTCTAACTGCTATTGCTATTGCTATTGTGAGCCGCCCTGAGTCCCCTTCGGGGAAAAGGGCAGCATAGAAATATAATCAATTCAATTCAATTCAATATATAATGTCTCCTTTTGTTGAATACATTCTGAAGATCTCTCCCAAAAGATAGCAGAAGGAAAGGCTGCAAAAAATAGCAAACCAATTTAGACTAGAGCCTGGGTCACTAGGAAATATACCCACGTGGGAAAGCAGTGCACAAATCTGCAGGAAGACTAACAGAATGAAACAAACCAAGGGAAATAGCTGGTTTGTGATTCCGCTGATTGCTAGGCACTTAAAGCTACCAACCATCTTCTGGAATGGGTGATATGAAGTGTGCAGCATCCAATCACAATCCCGGCTGCTTGCAGGGAGAGCAAAATCCCCGTTTTAAAACGATGGGGTCCCTGACAGCTGCTTCTGTCAAATACTTCAGGCTGCAGAAGAAATAAAGAAGCTTGTTTAATTTAGGGTAACCAGGATGTCCCAATGGCAAGGATGTGCTTTCTGTAGGTTAGCAAAGGACTTTGGGGGCCCTCTGGTGTGCAGAAGTGGGAACTGCACTCTCTCTATTCCCAAGGTTAGATTTTAAAAAAATTACACTCACGTATTCAGTGCTAATTTTTAGACTGCTAATTCCCCATATTAACCCTTCTTTTAAAAAACCTGATAGGGTGGCAAGTGAAACAGAAGGAGGAAAAATAGACTGTTTTAAGGAATAATGGAAAAGTGTTCTAATCAGACAAGGTCCAAAAAAACGGAATCATTCTTGAAACATGAGTCATGCCTTATTTTAAAACAAGTGCCATATGCCACTTAATTGAAGGCTAGATAAGGGAGCAGCCCCATGCGATCTTGACTGATAGCAAAAAAAAGAAAGAAAGAAGAGGATCTGCTTAATTGATTTTGGAGGAAGCTAAGAATTGGAAGCAGAAAATCTTAGAAAAAGGCAGCCAAGAGAATATCAAGATAATTAATTTACCAAATCCACATGATTAACCCATGCTGGCTGAGGAATTCTGGGAGCTGAAGTCCACAGGTCTTAAAAGTTGGACACTCCTGATCTAAGACAAAGGATTATGGATAGTATTGACCTCCTACAATGCTTTTAGTGCATAACACATGGTAAAGGTAAAGATTCCCCTCGCACATTATGTGCTGGTTGTTCCTGACTCTAGGGGGCGGTGCTCATCTCCGTTTCAAAGCCGAAGAGCCAGCGCTGTCCGAAGACATCTCCGAGGTCATGTGCCTGGCATCACTCAACGCCAAAGGCGCAAGGAAAGGTGTTCCCTTCCCATCAAAGGTGGTTCCTATTTTTCTACTTGCATTTTTACCTGCTTTCNAAATGCACCCTTCCCTCCTGGGCATCCACCTCCTTACTACATTCCATCACTGTCCTCTACTGAATGATTGGATTTACTGAGTTTTGTTTTATTAAAGTCTGATTTTATTTGTCTTGTATAAGATTGGTCCATCTTACAAGGAATAAAAAGGGCTAATCTATAGGCACATGCCACCAGGATATATGGCCAATGGGCGGCACTATACTGATAGTTTCACTTTGGATTTTTGACTTCTTCCTTGCTAGAAAAAAGCAGGCCGTTGTGTGAAATCTTTAAATCTTTCACTTTAGAGAATATAAAGATAGCCTTGCAGAGTGTTACAAAGGCATTAGCTTAGCTCAGAAAAATAGGAAGGGATGCAGAAAAAAAATATAGGAACGGCCTTCCTTAATTCTCTTGGTTATGAAAGGAAAGGGAAATTTAATCGGACTTTCAAAGCTTTATTTTTACGCTCTACATCAATAGAATAAAGTTACTGAATGTCTTGTCTTTTTGACTGCATTTTCTTGGAAGTGCTGACACTCACAGGCCAGGTTCATATCATGGCTCTGCAAAGGAATGTGTCTTTGGATAAGAGGAGATGGGAAATCAGAGCAAGGGAAAATAACTGGCAGCTATCCTGTTGCCTTTCGGAGATCCAAGTTGTAACCGAGTCAATAATACTACTTTGGTTTTTATATATCCAGCAAACTCACAGGACCCCTGTCCTGCATCTCAAAAATTCAATCAGTTGGTCCTTAAAAGGTAAAGGTTCCCCTTGCACATATTTGCTAGACTTTCCCTACTCTAGAGGGCGGTGCTCATATCCGTTTCAAAGCCAAAGAGCCAGCGCTGTCCGAAGACGTCTCCATGGTCATGTGGCCGGCATGACTAAACACCAAAGGCGCACAGAACGCTGTTACCTTCCCACCAAAGGTGGTCCCTATTTTTCTACTTGCATTTTTTTTACGTGCTTTCAAACTGCTAGGTTGGCAGAAGCTGGGACAAGTAACGGGAGCTCACTCCGGTACGCAGCGCTAGGGATTTGAACCGCCAAACTGCAGACCTTCTGATCGACAAGCTCAGCATCTTAGCTACTGAGCCACCACATCCCTCAGTTGGTCCTAGGCAATAGCAATAGTAGTTAGACTTATATACCGCTTCATAGGGCTTTCAACCCTCTCTAAGCGGTTTACAGAGTCAGCATATTGCCCCCACAGTCTGAGTCCTCATTTCACCCACCTCGGAAGGATGGAAGGCTGAGTCAACCCTNTTGAAAAAAAATATTAATTGTAATTGAATATACATTGTACAATGAAAGTGAGGTATTTAGTTATACTAGATGAAAAATCTGTGATTGTAAATGTACTTGAGAATATGGATCCAAAAACCCTTATAACCAAATGACATGCAGTATGTAATGGATGAGAGCATTTTTTTAATATTGTTTTTTTAATGTTTAAAAATAAAAAAAAATATTGGCAAAAAACAAAAGAAAGATCATACTGATGCCATACTAATGTCAGATTCCTGGGGCCCTAACCCTAACAATAACCCTGTAAGGCTGGGGACCAGAGCTTTTGTCTTCCAAGCTTTCAAACTCATGCTGGAGCCCATCCTTGGGGAACTTCTTCTTCTAGGAATCTCCTCATTCCTCACCTATGATTTTAACTTCTATAGGTGGTTAACCATGTGGGATGTGGTTGCCTGAATTAATAAGAAATACCTCCTTCCCCTTTTGAAAACCAGTTTAAAAAAGACAAAGCAAGCTGTCTCAACAGAGCTTTGACCATTGGGTGGAGTTCTCTCTACATCGTTAAAATATTTTAAGAGGAGAGACGATGTCAGATTAAAACTGATTCCCTTAATCTTGGTTGACAGGATTGAGGACATATCAAGTCAGGAAATGTGACAAATTTGTGCAACAGGGATTTTAGTTAGAAAAGTGTTTTACGGAATTCCTAAATTCTGCAGAATTGTGGACTTTCTCTTCCACCAATTTCTTGGCTGAAATGGTGATTAAAGAACACAACAAATATACCAAAATCTTGTACTAAATATGACAAAAGGGAATCTTCCATCATACATGAAAAATGTAGCCAACAAAGTGTGAAGACTAACCTTGGGAAAGGAAACACCGACATTAGATTGAAATATATCCAGGGTCAAGAGAGACGAATGAAAGAAGAGATAAAAAGAGGAACTGGAAACCATCTCTTTCCTCCAAGTGAAATTCTTTTAATACAAAACTACTAATGAGATGCAAGCTGAATTTGCATAATGAGGTAAAGGCAGACCCCTGGGGGTGTTTAAAGGGAAGACAGCATTTTCTCAACCTGAGTTTCCAAAAAGATCAGATATTCATCATGGCCTGGTCTCTGCTCTTGGCTTTCTTCTTCTTATGGTGCACAGGTAATTTAGGAAGAATTCTCACCTCTGGATTCCTGTGATGGCTTGGAAACCATCAAGCTCAAGCTGCAATGATGGTTTGATCCTGATATCAAAGCTACCCGCTTCCATGACTTCCAACCCATCAAAATTCACTTATGTCTTGATTTCAATCAGAGCAGCTCTTCCAAAGATACTCCAAGAGTGGATCTATAGGATGTCCACCTTCATTCCCTTTCCTTTTTTTATTTTCAGGAATCAATTCACAGTATACCTTGACTCAACCTTCTGCAGAATCACTTCCCCTGAGACAACCAGCAAAGATCTCATGTACCATGAGCCGAGACAGCCAAGTGGGAAGCTATACCATATCTTGGTACCAACAGAAGGCTGGAGAGAGCCCCAAATACCTTCTTTATGATAGTGGCAGCAATGGCAGATTCAAGGGGTCCAAGGACACCTCAGCCAATGTAGCCTATTTAACCATTTCAAACCTCCAGGCTGAGGATGAGGCCAATTACTATTGTGGTGGTGGTTACAGCAGTGGCAGCAACTGGTGGTATCACAGTGATAAACTCACATGCAGAAGTGAGACAAAAACCTCCCCTTGTGCTTTCATGCAAACACTTCCTTCCTCCCCTTAGTCAACCATCAGCCGTGGCTGGGAAATTCTGACACAGTTAATACTTAAAGTGCAGACTCCATTTTTCTCGCAGCTTTGCTAAG